TGCTTAAACCAGTTCTTGGCATCCTGTAGGGCGTAAAACAATATACGTACAAAATTAATGAATAAATAGGAAGAGCTTTATCAGTAGGAGTGGAGTTTTTAAAAGCCTAATCCATGAACTATTTGCAGCTGATGGAAGGTTTTCTGATGGTTATAAGAAGTGAAGTTTCTAGAAGCATTTGGTTGTCTGAATTTAAGTGTCAACTCTGGCAGTCACCATCTCTGCAATCATAGGCAAGTTTTGGTGTTGGTTTCTTCTTCCATGAAGGGTAATTCATGGAATTACCCTTCTTCCATATGGGTAATTATAGCATTTGCTTCATGGGGTTATTGTGAAGATAGGAAGAGATAATGCAAAGCATTTTGTGTCTAGTGCATAGTAAGTGCTCAGTAAATTTTAGGTGTGATGATGAGGATAATGACAGCCTTGCTGTTGAGAACAGTTCTCAGCTCTACAGACAGGTTTCATGTTACCCCAACACAGTCTACCCTGGTCAAATCCAAAGCGAGACAGGGGTACTCTCTTTGTGAATCTTCTCTAGCCATCTTGGAAGGGTGTGTGTGGCCCCAAGTCTGGCAGGGACAGAGCTGAGCAGAGCTGTTCACAGCAAATCTGCGATGATGATCTTCTCATCTGTCTTCTAAGCTGTAGGCGGCTCCTTCTTTGGGAAGCAAGTTATAATCAGAACTTGGAACAAGCTACCCTCCAAACAATGCTCTCATTGCCTTTTCTGCCATTTAATTAATGCCAGTCTAATTTTATAGAAAGTATATAAATATGATTTATGCATATTTGTACCTATATTTTCCTGTGAGGCTCACCATGAGGTACATAGCCCTGTAAATCATATCCTTCTAATAAATACCTCTGGCCTGAGTATTTAACATTATTTTTTATAGCTGCATTTAGGAAACTTAGCAAGTAGAGGGATGGATACTGCTTAACCTAACCTTCAATTTATCATTGACTAGAACCAAGAGGTGAATCTCCTATTTCTTTCAGATTATATTTTGCTGGGGGATTTAGGTAGATTTCAGCTGGTAGCATTCAAGATCCCTTTTGCTAATGCTTTCTTTCCAGTTCTTGTCAATCTAACTCCAGAAACAGACAGTAGCAGTCTATGAGCTGCCACTTGAGGGTTATGAGGACATGATCCATGCATCCTGTTTTTAACTTCATTTCTAGGGAATATAAAATTAAGTCAAGCCATGATTTAATGCCCTCAAATCCTGGAAGGGTTGCTTCACACCCCTGCAAGGGCCAATTTGGTGCAGTGGATTGATCTTTGGTGAGCTTTTCTATAGCTTCATTTGCACAGTATATGTTAGCATGTGCATCCATAAGCAGATTTTATTAGAAGTAACTTTAGAGACTTGATAGTAAAGCTTTTTTGTTTTACCAAACATGGGTTTAAAAAATTGCACAGAAATCAGCATTGTCAAGTCACACGAAGTGGAATCATAAGCAGAAGGCTTGAAACCTGTTTTTGCTTAAAGCCTTTATTTGATTTAGCAAAAACAACAGCAATAAATTGTATTCAAAAGCACTTTGATCCCCTTGCAACAGTATTATTACAAGAGCAGGGTCTACCAAGTACCACCCCTTTTTCATTTGGGTCAACTTTCCATAGGCTTCCCAAATCATCCAAGTCAGTGTTTATAATTCCAGAGACAAAGGATTGTTCAGGCGTTCGTGCCTAACACTTGGAACTTGGTATTGTTAGACAATGATCGTAGCACTGATCTTACATTTTTATTTTCTTGAAATCCTCTGTGGAAATAACAGAATCCCCGAGATTAAAATGCAAAAATATGTCGTTAAAATATTTAACACAAACATTCCTGTTCTATCTTTCTCCTGAAACTTTCAGATTTATTTAAGCTTTTTGCTTTCCTCCAAATAATATCTTAATGTTTTAAAACTGTACTTGGTATCTACAGTCAGTACTCAATAAGAATATAAATGGTAATAACAGGGCAGTAAATTGAAGAATATGTCTATGGCTCAAACATCACCATAAGAATAGTTTTGAATGGCTATAACTGCATTTGATTTTTTTCTGATGTTGCCCTAATACATAAGATCCAGTATTTCATTTATTCTTCATCCTTTTGCCAGAATAAGTAATTTTAAATATTCCAAAAATCCTTTGTTTAACATATAATCATATTTAGGATCGACATGACAGAGGATACATGCAAGTTACAAAGCTATCATTTTGTTTTTACTTTTCAATAACCCTTCAAGAAGTCAAGGCAATGGAAGAATCCCTATTTTAGATTTGATGACACTGAGATGAAGGAGGTTAAATGGCTTGCCTGGTTATGTAGTCAGTGGCATGGCAACTAGAGGGATTCAGGTCTCCTGATCCCTGTGTACAAGATTCTCTTTACTACCTTGCACAAATTGTTAATTGTCAGATTAAACAAACCTTGAAGTAGAGGGTTGACCAAGTCTGTGATGAGACAGCTACAGGGAGCAAAGGAGACTCATTCTCTTAAGTTTATTATGACATTCCTGGACATCAAGCTCCCTGGATGCTTTCTTGAATTAGTCGTAAGGTATAATGGTGATTTCGGGTATGCTAGAATATAGCATCAGAGACCTGGGGAGGTCCAGGTAGTGGACTGGAATAGCTGCAGCTATTAAATATCTAGGTCATCCTTTATATAGGGTTGGAATATATACTCTAGCTTCTGATTTCAGTGCTGACAGAAAGGGAAAAAAAATCCATCCTGGCAAAATATAGTCAGACAGCCGTTTGTCTTTCCCAAACAATATTAGGTATTATTACAGAATGTGAACACCTTTCATTCCTGACAAACAGGAAATGTATGCTGCACTACTGGTATGTCAATCAGAGTGATAGCATCAATTTTATGGTTTTTAATTCATCCCCACCTCCTGCCGAGCCTTTTGCTCATCCCAAATTATGAATCTTAAAAGGTACGTAATTAAGAAGAAAAAAAATGTGTCTCTGCCTGTGTGAACTCCTGTGTGTGAAGAGTGTGGAGCCAGATGTTGAAGAGATTTGTAAAGCACGTCCCGATCACTCAGTGACTGGACAAGCGACTTACTTTTTCTGCAGCCGGGAGTGCCCTTGCATGCTTTCGCTGTAGTATTTTGCTAGGAAATCAAGCAAATATTTTTTTGTACGCATTGCCACTTTTGCATTTTGCAAGGAACTGACAGAAAATAACTAATGTATTAAATGCTATATTTGTCAGGCCATGATGCTTCAGAGTTACATTTTTAATTTCAGTTTTCCATGTATATTTCTTTAGCTGTTATGATCTGTTGCTTTTTGATGTATCAAATAAATACAAAGCCAATTCCGGAGCCTTGCTTTGAATGAATCAGAGCAATGTGTCTCACAGTTCTTTTCTTTCTGCCCCTTAATTCTTTTCTCCAACATAGAATGAAAATAAAGAGTATTGTCAATTCAGTACGAAGTGAGCCCATTAAAAAATAAAGAAATAATGTGTGCTTATGTGGTGCATGTGAGCACACAAGCATACACACACACACACACACACAATCTACCTCACAACGGGGGGTTTGGGAGCCTGGGGTGTCTGAATCTGTCCTCCTATGCTCCTCTCTTGTTTCTGGTGAGGAGCCATTTTTCTTGTTTTTCCTATGCAGCTCCACCTGGACTCCATTTGCTGCCACAAACTCTGCAAATATCACACACTTTTTTTTTTTTTTTAAAGATTTAGGAATGTGATCTGATAGTTACTGATTGGAAGGTGAAGCAATAATTAGCCGTTGGTCAAGGTCAAATTCCCCTTGTGGTGCTGACTGCAAAGTGAATATTTCACTCACTGGCAGACAGTTCTCTATTTGCTGATAGTACATGATGACCTATTTTGTGGATCTTTAATGAGAACTTTCACTGTATGGTGGCCTCCATGTTTAAATCATTCTTGGCCATTTCAGCCTAGACCTTAACGTTGTTAATGCTTGAGTGTTTCAGTGAGGGTACATGGAGCTTTAAAGTAACCCATGTGGTATTTGCTTGCACAGAATTTCTTGTTCTACTTTTACCACAAATTTTCTATGATTCAGAATTGAAGTATGCTGGTTCTCTTCCACGCGAGACAGCAAATATAGAAAATAAGCAAGAACTCTTCTTTTCCTGGTAGGATACGAGCATAAAATACTGTTTTGAGAGTGAGGATAACTAGGCATGTACAAATATGGTTAATGCAGTAGGATCTGCCTTGTAGGGAGGTAATGCCCTGCAGAAAAGCTCTCCCTTCTTCTTGGGAAGAGGGAAGGCATCAAGGATCTGTCAAAGGAGCCATCCATCAAGGCTTGGTCACACCCTTTCTTTGTCTGTGTAGTAATAGCATCTCCAAAGTGAATTCACATTCCCTCACTTGATTCCTCAGTTAGATATTATGCTACTATGTTATAGGAGCTGGGTATGGATGCTAAACAACTTGCGTTAAGGTCATGGAGATGGTACCTGGCTGAGCTGGATTTTGAACTCATGTTTTTTGACTCCAAACCTAATGGTTTTTTATCTACCCTGTGGTTGCTTATTACTAGAACCACCTGTTTGACACTTATTTGCCTTTAATTTCCAAATTAGCTTATTTATTATGAATTACTTAATAATGGTGACATGTTTGATAACAGGGATTTACACATGGTACACACTAAATGAACACTTTGGATTGATTAACGGGTTAACCAGTTTTTCTCATTCTTCCATTATGTGGTGTAGCATTTAATCATATCACAAATGTTTACAGTCCTTACAAGGTCTTATGGTGGCTATTGAGAGCATAGGTGATTGTTATGAACTGAATGTTTAAATCCCCTCAAAAATTCATATGTTCTTGAATAACTCTTGGTATGGCTGTGTTTGGAAATGGGACCTCTAAGGCGGTAATTAAGGGTAAGTGATATCATGAGAATGGGTCTTGATCTGATAGGATTAGTGTCCTTATAAGAGGAGACACCAAAGAGTGATATCTCTCTCCCAAACACAGGGAAAAGCCACACGAAAACATAGAAGATGGACTTCTACAAGCCATAAAGCCATCCCTCACTATAAACTGAATCATCTGGCACTTTGAACATGGACTTTTTGCCTCCAGAACTGTGAGAAAATAAATTTCTGTTGTTTAAGCCACCAGTCTATGATATTTTGTTATGGCAACCCACATAGACTAATACAGTGATTAAAGTCAAAATCTCATTCAAGCAGCTCATTATCTTGTGGAGCAGATGGAGAACCTCCTTAGAGATCCAGGTGAGTTGGGTATATACCCATATGCTTTGTTCCTTTGGGATTAAATATCAAGGTTGTCATACCAGTGGAGTCAAAATACCCTCAAAGTCAAAAGGATAGTCAAAATGGTTTAAAACATTCTATACTTTATAGAATTGCATATAGTAGTACCTTAGTCTGCCTGGTTCTGAGGAAAAAGCGAGAATATGGAAAAAAAGGACTTCAGAATGATGAATCTGTGGCTTGAAGAATGAATAGTACTTTTCCAGCAAACAAGGTAGAAGACAATGCATGTTCCTCAGAGAGAACAGTGGTCTAAGCAAACATGCTAGAATCCCAGATTCTGGAGACTTTAACTAATTTGTATGGCTATAACTTCAAATGTATGTAGAGGAGATGTACAAGAGGAAGTTGGAAAGATAAGAGCAAGTTCTTTTAAAATCTTTCTATGTTAAGTTTAGAAATTGAACTTTAGAATCTGTAAGTAATATGGATGATATAAAATAATTTTAATCCGTATAGTTATAAAGTCAGGCATGCAGTTTAGAATTTTTCTCTCAATGCCCTGTGGAGATTGTACTGGAACCCAGACTCAGGCTAGGATTTGGGATGGAATTTCAGGGAATAAAGCTGGACCATAAATTCTCTGAATGGTTACAGAAAAGTAGTCATGAACACTGCCTTTCACATTGCCTTCTTAACTAAGGAACTCAACTCAAATTTTCAAACACTTCAGAATTCAAGTAACACTTCCTCCTTTTAATTATGGCTCTTGAATAGCTCTTATTATATTTCTAGAAAAATAAATGACTTTTGTTCCTAGGGATGCCACACATCATGGATAACATCCATGCTCTGGACCTCATCAAAACCAGACTAACCCCAAATGAGTGAGCTGCTGGTGGCCTGGTGAGAAATCCAGTATCCTCTACTTGTTTTTCTGAACACTCTTAAGTTTCATTTTTATGAGGTACCACATTTTGCTATGCTTTTAGCTGGACCTACTTGAATTTTCTTAGTCCAGTGTTTCAGGGAGCAGTAAAAAGAACAAGTAAACATGTTCCCTGAGCAATTACTAATGCAAGCCCTGAGCTCAACAGGATTCATAAAATATATATAAACTCCTCCTTGCCTGGTCAGGGTGCTTCAGATTGGAAGCGGTTGAAATATGGGAGAAAGTTCATGTTTTTGTGGTGTGAATTGGATTTTTGTGCATGTGCCTAATGCATTTTAAAACTATGGTAAAATCACCACTCTTAGACCCTCCTGAAATTAACTCACTTGTGAAAAAAGGTGGACAATTTTGTTTTGTGATTAACCCTTTGCACTCAGATGTTGAGTGTGGATAATGTCGAGTGGATAATGAGAAAAAAAGCAAGCGAGTGCAAAGGGTTAATATGCCTCCCCCTCTGAGTGATCTACCCATTCCTTCCTTTTCAAACAAAATAACAGTCTACTGCAAAGGAACTATTCTCACATTTGTATGTCACGTGGAACCCTTGAAACTGACTTTACCTGTTAGTGCTCACAACAGGAATGATGTGGTTATCATGCCACCTGCAAATGTCTTTTTTTCCTGTGCACTTATTATCAATCTGGGAATTTTGTCACCCCAGTCACCCCAGAATATTTCCTTATGACTACATTCTTACTAGCTGTAAGTAACTCTTTTACTCAACAGGGAACAAGGGCCAGATGGCATGCAGACATGTGCTTGAGACTGGGCGAGTCTCATTTGTTCTCTATTTCTTGTTACTTACTGTCACTCTTCAGCTAACCACACATAAGGAACCCACCCTGTGGGCTGCGTTTTGCTGTGCATATCTGACACATGATTATAATAATGTGCTTTTTATTAACATTATTGTTATTATGGGTTTCTTTTAGTTGTAGTTGTTTTTTCAAAGGTGAGATATAAATAAATTCAATAATGTAAACAGGTCAGCCAGAACACAGAAGTGTAAATGCAATGAGTGTTGTCCCCTTCTGATATAATTATGTTGAACTTATTCCAACAACAATGTTACAGCTCAAAATTAATTTTATTGGGGAAATTCTCTTTGGAAAATGATTTTAGAGCCTTTACCTTTCAATCAAAGCAAATCATCATTGTCTGAGGGTGGGTTTGAGCTTTTAAAAAAATTCATTGAACAAATAATTATTAGGTACTTAGTAAGTGGCAGGCAGTATACCAGGAGCAAGGAGCAAGACAGACATGGTTTCTGCCTTCAAAGACGTTTAAGATCAAATCTGAGATGAATGTCTGAGCCCTGGATAATACCTTTACTGATAAGAACAAGATGTGACTATACAGTGACAATTTTAACTGCCTCAAATGACAATTTTAAAGAAGAGATTTAAAACATTTTGAGTAATGGCAGCATCTCTGGAATAACTCTCAAACATACTACTCAGAAGACAAACACTGATTTTTTATGCATACAGCGCAGTGATATAGTGTTTATAAAACATTTTTATATACATTATATCATTCTCTTTTCACAGGAACCCTAGATTATCACCAAGTTCGAGTACTAATTTCCTCTATTGTAAAATGAATGATCTCTAGGAGTTTTACAGGTCTGAAATTCTGTGATTTTTATGTCCCTAAGTCTATGCATCCACACTGTATCATAAGTTCATTGCTTTAGAAGGATTCCCTGTGATCTATCTGACTAAAAACCATCCTACAGACCATTTTAGCAAAGATGGAAGCCCTATATTTTCTCCTGGGGGTCGTGAGTACTGGCAGGGGGCCTTGGGCATCTAGAATCTTAGCAAAGGATGGATGGGTATGGCTCACCCTCAGTCATGATGAGTAGAGGGAAAGTGAAGTCCAAGTCCAAGGTGAAGGAGCTCCCCTGGGAGTGAGGGTCTGAAATGCCAAGTTCAAACGATCAGGTAGAGCAAGAGTCAGACTCAAAGCAAAATATTGGCCAGAGCAAAGAGGTTGAAGAGGTATAACCTAGACAGTTACCCCAGAGAAACAAGATTTCTTTTTAGGGGTGATAGAGGCAGAGCCCAAGAACCAATAGAACAATAGACCAAAAGAAGAAAATCATTTTTAAAAATTGGTTTCTTTTTTTCTCAATCCCATCGGGAGTTTAAAAATGAAAATAAAAAGAAAATATAGCCCTACTGCAAAACTTCACGTCTTTTAGTTTTCCCAACCAATAGCTCACCCATTTAAGAAAACACAAGGTGTTTTAGTAGAAGAGCATCTTGATTTTTTTTTTTTTAATTGCCATAGTACAGGGTAAAGCATCTTGATTTTTGCCAGATAGAAGAACAAGTATTTAGAGATTGAAATTGAGACCATTCTTTCTCTCTCACTCCAACATCTTTGGGCCTGATTTGTCCATATCAAAAAATAAAATGAATTTGTAAGTCCAGTTATTAAGTAGATCTAAAAATCCCTCTTCTGTCAAAATGTATACACAGTTAGTAAAGATTCCAGGCAGGTTTGTATCGAGGCGTGCTGCTCTTTCCAGAAAAGTAAATGAAGTTTTTGAATATGTCATAATCATAGTAAGAGACTGTGGCCCTTGGTGGCTTCAGCCACACACACACACACACACACACACACACACACACACACACACACAATGGGGATGCAGGGTAAATGGTGAGAGCGTTTGTAGGAGCTTTCGGTGTAGCAGGGACCCTTTTTAGAAACTTTTACTTTGGGCCCAGTATTTTAACTCATTTTCCCCACCATGTTTCAAGCTCATGCCTGTGTCCCCTAATCTGTGGGGGCAGCAAATTATTCTAGGTGAGATGAACATATAGTGAATAAAAGCATGCAAAATCATGTGTAAAGGAAGCTGCTAATCATCTGTTTCAGGTGTTTTCTGCTTCTACTTTGTGTCCTTTTTGCCCCTAGGCACAATTAATAGTGCTATTTCAAACTCTAAAACTTGATTATGCTTGTTTTCCTGTTTATCTTTCAGTCCCTTTCTGGAAGAATTCTAGATATTTTTCTAGTCAGCCATATTCCAGAATTTTAACACCAGGAAGTCTGCTTGCAGGCCTTTTTTTTTTTTTTTTTTTTTTGCTTTGCTGTTGTTGTTGTTTTCTTTCCCCCCACAAATTTATTACATTAGGTCACACTTTATCCGAGAAGCTTTGTTCTCCATCTGCTCTCCATTTTTGCTCTATTATTAGGCTATACTTCTGGTATTCTGATTCCCCTTCGCTTCCAGGACTGTCATTGACGTCAGTGGGGAACCTAGGCAGAGGGGAGCCTGACACTCAGCTTGGCTCCACCGTCCGTTTTGGGAAGAGTGTCTGGTCTCCTTGAGATGAGGCTTCCGTTGGATGGACCCCTGTTCATTTCCTACAGACAGTGGAGCCTATGCGTAGTATTTAATGCAACCACCAGTGCAGGATGATATACTTGTTCTACCACCCAAATATATTGACTTTCTGTTAAAAGGCTTTTAACATAAATTTTAAGAGATTAACAAAATACATCACAGGCTATTGCTGAGAATGCAGGGTTTTTTAACTGTGTTTCTCCTACATTGATTTTAGTTCATATATTTTAACCACCCCCTTATGTTACTGTACCTTTTAATTTGTTATTCATTTGTTTAAAACCAGAACTCTGCTGGGGCGCTCTGGACCCACAGGAACTGAAATAGTTTGCCTTCATTATCTGGTAGACCTGCTCAAGTCTGAAGCCCCTGACAGAAACCACAAGACTGTACAAACTGGCAACTGTGGGTTTGTCTGTTCTCTATTGATTCTATTTCTGGAAAAAAACACGAACCAATGGGTGAACCATGTGACTGTACAACTGACCCAAAGCTGCCATCACAAGGGGGATGAAGACCTTTGCAGACAGGTCAGATGGGACCACAACACTTTTCTGTTTGCCTCTTAAGCAGCATGGCTTTTGGTAGCTTTGACTTCAAAACTGTAACTCCTTGTGCTCTGGAATATGAAACTGGAGGAGAATCTTATTATAATCATCTATAGTATGTTATTTAAATTTGGGAGGCCATGGGTCAAAATGCTCCAAGCATCTAACACAGTATATAATAAAGACAAGATGTAAGTTAGCTTATGAAGTATCTTAGTACTTTCTTCCAGCAGGAGAATTGCAAAGTAACTCCACCAAAAGTCTTTAAATGAAAACACACATGGGTACTTCTCAGTCTGTGAAACTGCAACTGCTGTAGTGTTTCCTTTTCTTGAGCTGGAGTATCAGTCCTCAGTACCCATACCCAAGGAAATAGAATGCAGGACTTCTATGTAGTATGGCCCAGTGAAAGAGTTCTTTTCTTGCCTCTAACAAGCTATTAGTCCTTGGTCTTCTGTTTTCTTCTCCATTAAGTGTCAAATGTCCAAATGACCCCTGATGCCTGTTTTTGCTCTAAGATTCAAAATGAACAAAAGTCCCTGATAGTACCAGAGAGATCCAGGTAGTGCAGAACACGTACTATTAAATACACACGTGTGAGCATGCACACACACACTCAACAGAAAAACCAAAATAGCTCCCCTCTCCTCCTCCCCCAATAATGACGATGCAGCCATCTGTTGGACGTTCCATTTCACTTAGCAGCTGCTCTCAGATACAGAAATCTGCATTCCTCCGGCTTGTGCTGGTATGCAGGCAGCATGTGTGGCTCTCCCACCCAAAGGAATGGCTTTCATTGAATAAAAATGATCACAGAGGTTTCTTATTCTCCCATCACTACAAATGCCTTTTTTCCTGATAATAGGCATGTGGAGCTATCTCTACTCCTCTATGTATTAAAATATACCTTCTGAATGACAGCCGCAACAAACAATCATCTAAAATTGAGGAGGACGACCAGGAAAAGGCTTTGGTGCAACTCTTGCCTTGCCAGAAACTTCCGCCTTGGAGGAGAGTGGGAGAGGTTAGAATATAAAGTTCCTTT